CCAAGGACCCTCTTATGAAGCAGCAGGATGTCAAGCCGGAGCCCACTTCTACTGCTGCAGATGACTCTTCCGTGAAGAAGGAGATGGGGGTGGCTGCTCCGCCTCAGCTGGTGGCTGCTCCGGCCCAGCTGCCTTGGAAGGCTCCGCCTATGAAGCAGGAGCTGCGACCGAAAGCGGGAGGGGTTTCGCTGCCACCGCCCCCGCCGATGCCGAAGGATATCAAGGCGGAGTACGACGAGCTGCAGGCCATGCTTGAGGAGGAGGAGGAGCGAATGATGCAGCAGAAGGCTCCAGCTGCACAGGCCGAGGAGGAGAAGGATGAGTACCAGAAGGCCGGAGTGTGCAGACCTCCTCCTTTGAAGAAGGCGAGGCAGGCGGCTTCGAGCTCTGCGGCACAGGGCAGCAACGTGGAGTTCGAGGATGCGAGGAGGTCCACGAAGCTCCAGAGCGGCTGGCTTTGTCGCTGTGTGGCCTTGGCGAACGCCTTCATGGTCGGGGACAACGATCGCTGTGCCCACTTGTTGGAGAAGTTCAGAAGCGATCCTACCTTTAACAAAAGGCTCCAGGACCACTCCTCGTACTGGGAGAGACATGGACAGGACCCTCAGTATAACTACTGAGGGATCACAGCCAGGCAGCGGCGGTATGAAAAAGAGTGGATCGGCAGTTTTAAGCAAAGTTGCTTAAAAACAACTTGGTTCAGGGTCCGTGGACAGAGAGTTGTTTCTGAGCAACTGTGATATAGGATTCCTGAGTCAGAGTTGTTCTGGAACATCTTGGGTTTGGGAATCTTGGTTGGAAGTTGTTCCAGAACAACTTTGTTGAGGGTCTATGTATTCCAAGTTGTTTTTAAGCAACTTTGCCTCAAACCATGCTTTGATAACCTTCTTGCTTTGAAGCAGTAGCAGAAGCCTGGCACCAACAAACCCCAAGCCCAGAAATAGTGTTTTTCTAGGAAAGCACAGAGCCCTCAGGCTCAGCCCGAAGCCTACCCAGCCCCGAGCCCACAGCCCACCGAAGCCAACCCCGAAGCCAACCCCCGAAGCCGTAGCCGCCACCGCCTAGAGCCGTGTAGCTTCCCAAGCACGAGCAACCACTAGTGCTCCTAGGGACACCATATACCTTTCTTTGCAGCCCGAAGCCTTCCCAGCAGCAAGGGTTGCATCTTGTTTGTCACACCATGCAGCACTGCTTGCAGTGCTTGTCATACAAAACAGCAAACTCTGCTTTTGAACACATGCTGTGATGCACCCTTGAGGTGCTTCTTAAAACATACAACCATGCAGCACTGCTTGCAGTGCTTGCCATGCAGCACAGACAACTGTGCCTTTCAACACATGCCATGCAGCACCCTTCCGGTGCTTCTTGAAACGTGCAACCGTGCAGCACTGCTTGCAGTGCTTGTCATGCAGCACAGCCAACTGTGCTTTTGAGAACTTGCCGTGCAGTACTCCTTCTAGTGCTTGCCTTGTCCTTATAATGAATCCAGAACCAGGAGCACTATAGGTGATGTAGCTGGGGGGTTCCTATGCATCGTTACTTCATACGAATGAATGGAAAAGTGAGTGTAGTAGCAGTAGTAGTAGTAGTAGTAGTAGTAGTAGTAGTCGTAGTACCAGTCGTAGTACTAGTCGTAGTCGTAGTAGTAGTAGTAGTAGAAGTAGTAGTAGTAGTAGTACTAGTAGTAGTAGTACTAGTAGTAGTCCTCGTCGCAGTGGTAGTCCTAGCAGTCGTAGTACTAGTACTAGTACTAGCACTATAGTCTTAGTAGTAGTAGTAGTAGTAGTAGTAGTAGTAGTAGTAGTAGTAGTAGTAGTAGTAGTAGTAGTAGTAGTAGTAGTAGTAGTAGTAGTAGTAGTAGTAGTAGTAGTAGTAGTAGTAGTAGTAGTAGTAGTAGTAGTAGTAGTAGTAGTAGTAGTAGTAGTAGTAGTAGTAGTAGTAGTAGTAGTAGTAGTAGTAGTAGTAGTATAGTAGTAGTAGTAGTAGTAGTAGTAGTAGTAGTAGTAGTAGTAGTAGTAGTAGTAGTAGTAGTAGTAGTAGTAGTAGTAGTAGTAGTAATAGTACTACTACTAGTAGTAGTAGTAGTAGTAGTAGTATAGGAGTATATAGCAGTACTACTGTCGAGTACTCGCAGTACTCCTACTAATACTATAGTATTAGTACAAGTAGGAGCTAACAGCAATAGTACTAGTCATGTCGATAGTAGTATAGTCGCAGCAGTCGCACAAGCAGTAATGGTGGTGGTGGTAGTAGTAGTAGTAGTAGTGGTATCAGTAGTAGTAGTATAGTATTCCTGCTAGTCAGTCGTATACTAGTCCTCCTTTATCGTCGTGGTCGTAGTAGTACTATAAGTACAAGACTTATAATTGTACTTTTACGAGGAATGCTAGCATGAACACTTGTCGCCATTCTTGGTTTAGGCGACTTCTGTTTCACTTGTGGTCCTTTGCTTGGTCTGAGAGACCATGGCTCGTTGGACGGCCGATGACTTCGTGCAGGAGCTAAACTCCATCCAGAGGCTGGTGAGCATGAGGCCCGGCACCGACATGGAGGCTAAGCTCGTGGAGGCACTGCAAGATCGCATGGCCCATCACCCGGGATGGACGGCGGAGCAGCTGTGCAAAATGATGGAAGCAGTGACCCAATCTAGCTTGTCCGGCAACAGCAAAGACGGGTTGCTCAAAGCTTTGGATGATGCTGCAGGCCCGACACTAGCTGGTCAGTCCCAGGTTCGACTCACTAGCAAACCCCAGACCCTCGTGCAAATCAGCAACTACTTGTCCAAGTCAGATTGGGTGAAGTTGTCTACTTCGAGCAGCTGGGATGCTACAGTGGTGGTGACCGAGCGGCTCAGGAGGCTCGGCCTTACCAGTCTCAAAGAAGAGACGAAAAAGTATGCCACCGCCATCATCGTCACTTGTCAGATTGAGAGGCTTGGCATTGCTCCTTCCTACGACGACATCTACAGACTCGCAGAGCAATTGCACAAAGTCTTCCTCAGTGTGCAGGTGCCACGAAAAGCAACAGGGGTCACAATATATCCTTTGCATCCATCAGAGCTCGGACCGGGCTTCGTAAAGGATGCTTATGACCCTGAGGACCCACCGGAGCCGAGAGACCTCCCAGGTCTTGTAGCCCGGGTGACTCATGAGACACCGGTGCGAAGCACGTCGAGTTTGTTGTCGTGGAATCAAGAGAAGAAGAATAAGACTAAGGGCAAGAATGCTGCTTGCGAGGATGCCGCACAAATGCAAGTCCTGATGCATAAGTTCTTGCAGCAGACGGTCGGCAGCACGGGCATGAACACCTTCAATGCATTGCAGCTGCCAAAGAACGGCAGCTTGGTAGCTTTGCAGGAGCCATGCTCCACAGCATTGGGTATGCAATGTGGGCAAGCAAGCACAAACATGCAAAGCACGGGCCATGTCCCCCCCAGCCTCGCTGCTTCAAGCAGTTTGCAGGCTTTGCAGAACATTGCCTCGCCCCAGCATGCCGCCCAGCCCTCCTCGTCCCCGCGAGTGCCAGCCCAGCAATGCACCAGAGATTCCATGCTGCAGACTCCTTCCTCGGTGGCTCCCCCCCCTCTCCTGACTCAGGTAGTGCCTGTGGTGGAAAAGGTTGATCCCCCAGAGCAGCCCCAGCCCCAAGAGCATGTGAAGGAAACCCCTGTGACAACACCTGCAAGCAGCAGCAAGCTCGAGGCGATCGAGCAAGAGGCTTTCAAGGCTTTGCAGGCCCAAAGCAAGCAGGGAGAAAATAAGAAGCGAGGAGCTCCAGATCAGGGCAAAGCAGTCATGAAGAGGCCTTCGGCCAAAGCCAGTGCAGCCAAGCCGGTTGGGAAAGCCAGTGCAGTCCCGCTAAAACTTGGTTGCATTCGCTGCCGTGGCTGTCGAACAGGATGTTCGCAGTGTCAGGATCCGGGGTTCAATGGACTCCGCCTGACCAGGGAGGAATGGAAGGAGTGGTATGCCAAACGGCAGCTTGCCCTCGCAAAGGGCAAAGCCTGCAACAAGAAGTCCAAGAGCAAGAAGTGACTGAGTTAGCCTTGGTGTTTTCAATGGGTGGGTAGCTATATATAGCTTCGCACTGCAGCAAAAGCTGCTTCGTACAGCAAAAGCTGCCCGGTGCATTAATCACTGCAACCGTGTTCCATGGCATCCTGCTTCATTCGAAGCGGGCAAGCGAGCAGCAGAACAAAAAATCATTGCAGCCCAGCCGGGCTTCATGTTTGCATGGCCAGATAGCTCCATGCAGCTCTGCATGACAGGGCTTATGCAGGCATGCCATGCTGATTCGGCCTGGGTTCTATATGAACTGTTCCTTGCTTTGCTTTCCTTGTGCTTCTTCAAGATTGCTTTGGAAATGGCGCTTAGGGCCCACAGCTCCTTGTGTTTTCACATTTGGAGCTACCTTCCCAGTCCACTGTGTGGCCTGGATGCTTTGTTATATGTTTTGCTCTATATAGACAGACATGCAACCGTCATTGTGTTTGGCGGTTCCCGGGTTTTGTGCTGTGGCATTTGTGTTTAAGCCGCAGAAGCAAAACCCGGTGTTGAGTTGAAGCTCCAAGCATATGCATGGACTGTGTAAGGCTCAATAGCCAAGTCTTGCAGTTGGCACCCATACGGGTCGCAGAATTTTCTCGTCGACAGTTCCTTCCGATGTACATTCTGGCGGTGTGTATAGGTGTGTATACAGCTACATCTATATTGGGGTTTGAAGTTGCAGGGTTGGAAAATGTTTATTTTTTTGTTACTTTGTAGTTTTATGTTGATGTAGCTGAGTTTTGCATGCATCTATAGATGTGCAGATGCATTCTGCATATAGTCTGCTTGCATCCAAATTCGATTGATTCTACCTGAGCAATAATGTCTTCCTCTTCTTCGAAGACAGACGACCGGCCACAGAAGCTGCAACGGTTGAACTCTTTGAGAAGAGCAGCACCTTACTGTAGTAAGAGTGCTCTGCATGGCCTCTTGCAGGATATTCATGATCATGGCATGCCAGAGATGACAGACCCGAAGCAGATGAGAGAAGCGACAAGGTCGTACTTGGGCAAGAAAGAAGCTTACGGGCCTCTCTTGGAGAAGCAGGAAGCCAAGACAGTGTCTGGTGGCACGGTGGCTTTTTGGCTGGTGAATGTTTTCAGCTTGCTGGATGGGATTTGCCGTGCCGGTGGTGCTTTCTACGATTTGCTTCGGAGCTGTGCAGAGAAAGCCGGCGGAAGAGCACTCCGATTCGCGATCTACTCAGACGAGGTAATCCCAGGCAATGTCCTTGCAGCCCGAACCTCGAGGAAGAGCTGGTGCATCTATCTCTCATGCATAGACTTCCCTGCTCAAGTGCTTGCGATGGAAGAGGCCTGGCTCACCATCGCACTGCTCAGGAGCTCTTTTGTGGCCTCGCTGGAGGGAAGCATCAGCCAGATCTTCAAAATCATCTTTCGCAGTATCTTCTTGCACTCTAAGCATGACCCGGCGGCAGGTGTTTGGATGCAGGGGCCGAAGGGCGGGTTTCATTTGTCATTCGAGCCAAGCATGGTAATACAAGACGGGGCAGCTCACAAATTCGCTTGGAGTGTGAAAGGTGACTCGGGTTCGAAGTATTGTTTGTTGTGTGGCAATCAGCGAGCCGACAATCGCAACGAAGAGAAGATCCCCAAGCATGCACATGCTGACTTGCATTTGGTTTCGGATGACGATATTTGGGATTCTTGGTCGAGGCTCGCCGACCTGAAGGGCCGGTGTTCAGCCAAAGACTTTGGCATGTGGCAGCAAGCCACTGGGTGGACCTTCAACACAGAAAGCATTTTTTCGGAGCCTCTGCTGAGGAGGGTGGTCAAACCAGCAACCATGTTCGTGCACGATTGGATGCATTGCTGCTTGAGTAATGGAACATTGAATGATGCGACCTGGTTACTTCTCAGTGCCACGAAGGACCATGGCTTCAAGGATGTTTTTGCCACTCTGGAGAAATACGTGGATCTGTGGACACAGCCGGCTTCCTTCGCACACGTAAAGCTGAAGCAAGTCTTCGAGAACAAGCGGATGAAATCCTGTAGAGAAGCGGGGAAGTTCAAAACGACAGCTTCCGAAATGCTCAGTTTGCTGCCGGTCCTCGCCTTTTTCGTCCGAACCTGCATCCTTGACAAAGGCTTCCTACCATCCGAGTGCGAAGCTTTTTTGCAGATGTGCCTTATGGTGGAACTATTGCAGGCCGCCTGCCATGGGCATGGTTGTGTGCTTCCATCCATGTTGCGAGAGGCCGCCGACAAGTGCATGAGCTCTTGGTTCGAAACGGGCTGGGGGGAGCACGTAACCCGCAAGATGCACTGGTTGCTGCATATGGGTGACCACTATGAAAAGCACAAGAGGCTGCCTGCTACATTCAGCATGGAGCGGAAGCACAGGACAATCACCAGATATGCAGCATCCATCCAGAACACCAGCACTTTCGAGCGATCCCTCTACGAGGAAGTGCTTGCCCATGAGCTGTGGCACTTGGAGAAGTTGCCCGAGTTTCCGGTCGCCCTCGCTCTGGAAAACCCACGGCAGAAGCCCCCCACCAAGCTGAGGGATCTGGTGCTCCAGAGCTTCCCACAAGTCTCCAAGGATGACCTGAAGATCGCAACGATTCTACGGCTTCCTGGTGGTGGGTTGGCAAGCAAGGCAGACGTGTGTTTGCTGCAGGCAGACAAAGGGCGGGACCCTCCTTGGGATTGTGCCGAAGTTTTTTGCCATGTTTCCGTGCAAGGCACATTGTGGTCCGTGGTCTCCCTTTGGAGCTTGCAGGAGTACAACAAGGACAAGCACTGTGCAGTGTGGACCGAGATGGAGCAGCCTGTGATTATCGAGAGCAAAGACATCCTGACAGCGGTGGTCTATTTGAGAGACACGAATTGTGTCCGCACTTTAATCCCTTTGCACCTCCGTAGCTGACAAACTTCTTCGAGGGCCTGGCTCTCCGTTTCACGACAGCGAAAAAAACATGGATCTTCTTGCTCAGCATGCACCTCTGGGTCATGCTACATGCACATGACAAACATGGTCATGCTGACATGCCATGAAATAGCAGCTGCAAGACAAAGAAAAGCTGCTTACATGATGAGTCCAAGCATGCTCCTTAGGATCATGCTATATGCACATGACAAACATGGTCATGCAAACATGCCATGAAATAGCAGCTGCAAAACAAACAAAAGCTGCTTAAAAACTGCATGGAATATTTCCAGAGTTTCACAGGGCATGTCTTTATCTTCCTTGCTCAGCACCCTGGTGCTTCTTCCTGCATGAGTTGAAGTTGCTTTTCCACATGATGTTTAGCCAGGAAATGAAGGCTTCAAAATTTCATACTGCCCGCCTTTTTTATACAACAACCTTAAAATCCAAAAGCACAGAGCCATTCCCATGTCATCGGCCACTGGCCACGGCAAAAAATTCATCTCATAAATCCTGTTTTCGTCGTTCAAAAGCACACATGAAAGCATGCACATGTCACGGAAAATCTTATGTTATACACTACTTCTGTGTTACTACTTAACTAGTTAGCTAATTTTTATAACTGCCATTTCTAATCATCTTAACTCACCTAACTCCTTAGCTAACCCACAGCCCATCAAAGTACTTCCAGATCCCACGCCAGTACGGGGAATGGGCCTGCCGCGAAGAACGCGAAAACGGGATCAACATGAGTGCGGACCTCAAGCGCTTCGTCCTGTGGTTTCGCCGGAAGTCGGAGGAGAAGGAGATGAAGGCGGGACCATCCCGTCGGGAAATGATGGAGGACCCCGAGCGCTATGCCAAGATCCCCTATCCAGGATCCGCGTCGTCCCGGTCTTGGGAAGAGGTGTCGGCGATGAGCCAAGCGGACAAGGACCAGAGGCCCCTGACTCCATCCAGTTGCGCAGCTGTGACCCCTCTGAAGGCGTCACCCACCAAGCGCGGAGCGGAGAAGAACACCACCAAGGAGCGGATGCACGTGGACCCACCGGAGCAGGTCTTGGAGGAGATCAGGGCGCTCGAACAGCGCCTTGCGGTGCTGAAGGACCAAGTGGGTCCCCAGTGAGCGATACCTACTTGAAGTGCCCGGAGGAGCGGGCATGAGGACAACGAGGAGATGTGGGAAGAACTCGTGGGCGAGGACCAGGAATCCTGCGTATTGCTTTCTGAGAATGTCGAGAACGTCCTTGCGGAGGCCATCCTGAAGGAGGACTACTCGGCGGCGACCCTCACCTCGATCCTGGAGGCCACCTTTGGCAAGAACGGCGAAGATTTTCCTAATCGGGGAGCTCGGGCCAGGAAGAGGGCTATGGGGGAGAACGACACCGGTGGTTGCAGGATCTCGCTCGGCTACTACACCTACGGGAGCATGCGGGGGATCTGTGCCAATACCTCGAAGTACGCGTCTCTCTGTATCTACCTCAAGAACTACTTCCTCGTGAAACTACCCGATGCTAAGTGGTCCTCGCTCTCGATCGCGTTCAATTGTCAGCCCCGGGTTCATGCCGACTTCAACAACCTGAAAGGGACCCTGAACTACATCACCTGTGCCGGCGACTTCACCGATGGAGGAGGACTGTGGCAAGAAAACGGCCATGCAAAAGGGGACGATGTTGTGCTGGACCCCAAGGACCGCGAGATCAAAGGGAAGGTGCTACCTACTCTTGGAAGCATTGTGTCCTTTGTGCCGGAGCGCTTTCATTCGGCCCAGGCGTGGACGACCGGGAACAGGTGGTCCGTGACGGCATTCTCCACCAGAGGCTTCGCCGGAAGCACGCAAGGTGAATGCCGACAACTTCGACTTTGGGGATTCCCACTACATGATCTACGACATCTCTCCCGTGACCGCAAGCAGATTGAGAGTGGGATCCAGGATGCTTTCGGCCGTCTTGCCGATCTCCGCACAAGCGACGGACAGGCCCATTGGCAGTCCGGATTCACTGAGAGGCACGGCAAGTGGTGGAAGGAGATCTTTGCGAGGGTTGTTCAGGATCAGACCGTGCGTGGAGAAGAAGTGGAGGAAGCTATCGCGGCAACTTCCTCTGCGAAGAATGAACTACGGCGTCGTTGTGGGTGGGCGCCTTGCCAAATCGTCTTCGGGAAGAATCCTCGCGGTGACGATGACCTACGGTTCGAAGTTGAGGAAGGTGGTGGAGAGCTACTCAGGACCCCAGACTCTGCACAACAGCGCCGTGAGACGATCCGCAACGCAGCCAAGCTCTCCTTCTTCAAGTCCCGGACCGAGGACAAGATCCGACGAGGGATGTCTCAGAGAGCCCGAGTGAAGCCCCGAGATCTCGACAACGGAGCTATGGTTCTTTTCTGGAGGAAGCCTGCAAACAAAAAGACCGGTCTCTGGAAGGGGCCCGGAACCATTATCGGGCGCCAAGACAACAACTACTGGGTGTCACACAGCGGCCGGTGTTATCTATGTGCTCCAGAACACCTTCGCAAGGCCCTGCCAGAGGAACTTGGTGGATTGTTTGCACTCCGCGCGACAAAGGACGATCTACTACGTTTGGTGGAAAAGAACTACGATGACTCGGCGGTGTTCCCGGCCGAAGACGACGCCGAGATTGGCGACAAGGACCTGTTCGACGCAGTCATGGACCTCTCCGAACCCGAGGGTGACGAAGGCGAGGCGGAAACGGGCGACATGGAACTCGACAATGGAGACCTACTTGAAGAAGGACCTCCCGAACTTCCTCGTGATGACCTCCCCCGCGCCGTCCGCAGGAGATTCTCCACGAAGAGACCGGAGCCCTACGACGCCGCCAAGGAAAAGGAGACCGTCAACGAGGCCCACATGTTGAAGAGGGCGACTACCAAACGCGGCAGGGACAAACAACTCGAGAAGGAGATCCCTTGGAGCATGATTCCGGAGTCCAAAAGACAGCTCTTCATTGATGCAGAGCACAAGCAGTGGGAAGAACATCTTCGACTCGGAGCCCTTCGCCCCCTGGATCTAGCAGAGAGTGCCGAGAAGATCAAGTCGGGGCGGGTACTCTCCTCGAGGTTTGCGTACCGCGACAAGAACTTGGCCCGACGACGGACCGATCCGACGGTCGAATGGAAAGCCAAGTCAAGGCTAGTGGTGTCCGGGCATACCGACCCAGACATCGTTTCAGGAGCTCTCAGGACCGACTCGCCGACGGTGTCACGCACGGCGGTCATGACACTGCTTCAGTTGGCCGCCTCCCAGCTGGACGATGACTGGGGTGTTGCAGCTGGTGATGTTACCGCAGCGTTTCTCAATGGCGAGAAGTTGGACCGCGAACTTTATCTACGACAACCAAAGCACGGACTTCCAGGACTCCATCCAGATCAACTCATAAAGATTGAGAAGGGGGTTTTCGGATTGATCGATAGCCCTAGAAAATGGTGGAAGAAGTTCAAGAAGGATATCCAAGAGATGACGATCGACCTCCCCGACAACAAGAAGGGCAAGTTCTTCGCCTCCCCCCTGGACCCGTGTGTGTTCCAGCTGATCGAGTTGGATGCCGATGGCAAGCGTGGCACCGGACCACCACTGTGCTACGCAGCGGTCCACGTCGATGACATTCTTCTGGCCGGACCTCGAGCTCTTCGTACTTCGGTTCAAGGACAGCTCTCTAAGTGTTTTCCGGTCGATGAATGGGAAGAGGACGTCTTCGACTTTATCGATTCCCATATTGAGACCCGACACGATGGCATCTTCGTTTCTCAGTCTTCCTATGCACCAACCGACTCTTCGAGATCTACGTCGACCCCAAGGCGCCAGGTGACGCACTTGCCGATGCCGAACAAATTGCGGACAATCGCTCCCTGGTTGGTGCTCTCTCATGGCTGGCATCGCAATCGAGGCCAGATCTGGCCTGTGGAGTGTCTATGTGCCAACAACTACAAGCCCGACCGACGATCGAGGACATCCGCTTCACCAACACCATGGCGAAACGAGCACTACTACACAAGGAAGAAGGCATCCTCCTGGCGAAGATACCGCTCAATGAAATGGTCGTGACGGTGTTCCACGATGCGGGATGGAGCAATGCGCCGGACTCCAACGCGGACCCCATCTACTTTCTCTACGAGGAGGACGAGAAGAACGGCATGATCACCGAAGGGCCCTGGGTGAACAAGGCCCGAAAGACAAAGAAGAAGAACTCGAGCGTAGCTTCACAGCTTGGTACCCTGGTGATGCTATGTGGCAAGGATGGAATCAAGCATCCTGGAATGGCGTTCCCATGCCTGAGACCGAGTCTGCCGTTCTACTTTCGGAGCGGAAACCATGGGCTGCATTGAGGGGTTCGAGCTTGGGCAGTATGTGAGAGCAATGATCGACTCCTTCCTCACCGGCAAGATCACCAGAGATGCAGGAAAAGGAATTCTAATCCTGGGTGTTGCCGACTGCCGTTCCTTGTACGACCATATGCACCGTGATGGGCTTCCGAGAACTCCCTCCGATCGTCGTCTTGCGATAGACATCGGCTGCCTGCGACAAACACTGATGGAAGAGACCGCCGAGTGCGATGATGCCCGGGCTCCCTTGGTCTGGGTGCCGACTCACCTTCAACGAGCAGACATACTGACCAAGCCCAAACTGGCTAGTGATTGGTGGCCTCTTTCAGGGCGACTAAGTCTCCCTTTGAAGGCGGGAAACGTCGTTTTGAAGCAGTGTAAATCTGAAGAGCGATGTCAGGACCCCATACGCATGTCTGAACACGTGCGAGAGGAATGTTCCAGTGCATAAAGCATTGCTTCGCTCCCTGAGGGATGTTCCAGTGCATATTGCATTGCTTCGCTCCTCGTTAAACTCAGGCTCACGAGCTTTTGCCGTTGCACAGGGGAAAACAACAGCCGTCCCTGCTGCCGTAGTCTTAGAATAACTATGGCTGTAACCCATATTGCGGGGCTTATAACCCCACTTAAAACTACCCTAAACCTGACACCCTAAACCCTATAGAACCCTTAAAAGGTACCCTAAACCCTTATAGCCCCACTTACAACTACCCATAAACCTCCAAGTAAGGGTAAACCCTAAACCCTAAACCCTAAAACTCTAACCACCTGAGAGGTCGTCCCCGCCAAAGCTGAGGCCTCGCGGTCGAACTCCAGACGACCCTGGATCTCCAGCCTAGGCTCTTGGCTTTAGGAGTTTAGAGGGGCTTAGGGTTTAGGAGTTTAAGGGTTTAGGGTTTAGGGGTTTAGGGGTTTAGGGGTTTAGGGTTTAGGGTTTAGGGCTTAGGGGTTTAAGGGTTTAAGGGTTTAGGGTTTAGGGGTTTAGGGTTTAGGAGTCTAAGGGTATTGGGGTTTAGGGCTTAGGAGTTTAAGGGTTTAGGGTTTGGGAGTTTAAGGGTTGAGGGGTTTAGGGGTTTGGCGTTTAGGGTTTAGGGATGTTTAGGGTTTAGAAGGGTTAGGGGTATCGGTACAGGGATGTAGGGGTCTGGGGATGTTTATGGTGCTTTTGCTTCGGGTTTGGGGTTTACCCATAGGCCCCAAAGTAGTTCCTTTTCGGGACAACCTGAAAGGCTTCTAAATATGAGCCCCAAAAAGGAACTACTTTGAGGCCTTAGGGTAGGGTATGGAGATCTAGGGGTCTGGGGATTTTGGTCTAGGCGTAACATTGAGAGTGGAAGGATGTAGGAGTGCAGGGATGTTTAGTTAGGGTGGCCTCTGCATGGACCCTATGGAGAGAGCCTGCGGGCCGGTAAGAAAACCCTAAACCAGAATCTGGAACTCTGCCAGCTCATCTTATCTCAAGAAAAAACCCCAAACCCTAAAACCCTGCGACTCCTACCTAAACCCTAAACCCTAAACCCTAAAACCCCAAACCATAAACCCTAAAACCCCTAAAAGCCCTACAAACCCCAGGAGCGAAGTCTCCTCTGTCTAAGCGTCAAGATCCCAGTCGGGCTGAAGGGTATGTACATTAACGAAACTAGGTCTGTAAAGTAAAAGCCAGAAAGTTGGATTATGATTATCCTAAACCCTTTATGGTAAATTATCAGGTATCCTACCCTGAAACCATATTCTAACTTTCTGGAGTTCCCTTTAGGGCCTGGTGGATCTTGCTTCGGGGCCGTGGGCTCAGGGCTCAGGGCCTTGAGTCGAGATCTGGACCCTTCAGGTGGGTGGTGGTCAAAACTATCGTCCCTTTTTGGGTCCTTATAATAATACTAAACAGCACCCCCTTATAATAATACATAACACCCAAAAAGGGGCCATGATGATTCGGTCGAGCAACCAGTGAAGCACGGGCGTCTCGATGTCCAGCAGGACGTTGTCCTGGTGTACCAGGCTTTTGGCGCGTCGTGCGGGGACGAGGTACTTACAAGGCTCGACAGAATGAAGATTCAATATCCTACTGTTGTTTGCAACCTACAGTATAACCCACTGTGCCCTGGAGTTTGGAGCGACAGTACCGCTTAGCTCAAGGTGTTTGAAGCTTCAGGCTTTGCAGGATTCAAGCATCGCTTCGAAGTTTGCGGATCTTGAAGCTGCGCCTCTGGGGCAGTCATTAGACTTTTCGGGGTTTAGGGCTTACAAGGGCTATTTGAGGCTCTGCGGCGACCCTTGATTATTGAAGTCCCGGCGACAGTTGAGGGCAGAACGGATGGGGGAGGTAACATGGGGGTAGGTAGAATACCTGCGACGCGCCTTTCACGAACGCCAAGCAGGTGAGACGAAGTATGTCGAACCCTCCGGGGGTTAGTGGTGGGTTAGCGGCACATTGGTGACCACACACTAATTAGTACCGCAGTCACCAGAAGGACCAGAACCCTCGGTAGCTTTTTTCGTTCTCGCAAGCTTCGGCGCTGGTGCGCAAGCCAACGTACCTGGCAGTGCGAGGACATTGACAATCAACAGACGGGGATTCTGTGCCAGTCTTGCACATCACAAACCCATGTTTTGCCCCTGCAAACGTCGAACTGAAAAAAACAGTGACTCAGCCACTGGGCAATGCAGCAAAGCTTGTGAAGGACCCCGATTATTATTAGTTAGTATAAGATGGATTTATCACCGCTGCAATTTGCATTGCCCAGCGACTTTGAGGAGTCCTTGCTTGGCATAAATAATTTATTGTCAAGTCTGGGACGGACCGACTAATGATGGCAACACTCCAATCAAATGCCGAGGAAGGTCCTCCTCGTCCACATCACCCAAATATAGGCGTTCCGCAATCTTGACCTTGTTTTCAAGGTGTGACACAAGCCTTTCCAGAGCATGCTTCTCGTTGTTGAGGGACCCCAGCTCCTGCTCCATGGCCACGATCTTTGCCCGAAGTTCGATCACTTCCTCGACAGGCGACCATTCGAAATTTCTCGTCTGTCTGATGTTAATAAGTGATATAATATATAATTATGGTAAATAGAATTATATATTGTCGGCCGAGACTCCTTGCACCAGACACATGGCACAGCTGCCATGGCCGTGTCAGCCTCCACGTCCGAAAGCTCTTCCTGCTCTCTGCAAGGAACTTGGAGCAAATCCGGATGTAAGACTTAACTTATTAATAAATAAATGACGCAGGCAAGCTTCCTCCTTCACGCGTGGCTCCTTCTTGACACTGCCACTATCCTGGATGGGCCCAGCAGCGGCCTCGGCGTCCTCACGGGCCTTCTGCTCCGAGTAAAGTCTGTTCAAAGCCTTCCGCCGCTCTGCTGGGGTCGTTGCCTTCTGCACGGATGGATGGTCATGGAACTTCGACTTACGCCGCTCCTTCTTCTGCTTGTTTTTGTCGTAGAGTTTGTTGAGTTCCTTCCTGCGTTTCTTTGGATCAGAAGGACCTGCCACCAGATCGTTGAATTTGGACTGATTTTTACGTACCTTGACTTTCTTCGTATCTTGCTCCACCATGGCCAGGCACGACTCATCATCATCTTCGGATCCCGCCATGAACCAAGGAAGGGCCGCTGGCGACTGTAGCAATCAGTGAAATTACGTAGCAGCAAGAAGGCTAATTATAGCCATAATGATCTATTCAATCATTTAGCACCGCTCTGCTACAGAAACTACTGAGAATTTATTTATTATTTATTCTCAATGCGAGTGACTGAACCCGTGTCAGTCCGCAGACTGCTGGCAGGAATGAAGGAAGTCACGTTGCACATGCAACAGAACAGACGTGACTCGACAATGACATGAGTCCAGCTTCAGACGACACTGGTCTGCTGGGGGCGCACTCAGCCGCTTCAACTTCCACCATGGAGGGGCCGGGAGTGCCAGCCAACCTGGGTCATTAAAATGTCAAAGACTTGACTTGAGACTGGCCCCATTCTTGAGTGAGTTGACCTCCTATTTTACTCACGCGGCGAAGCCAGTCCGTCAGCAGCTTGTCGCTGCAACAGTACAAATCATCGGCGGCAAATGACGAGTTCAGCCAAAATTGACTCCAGTTGGATGCTGTGTCCGGAGGTGAACCCAGTTACATAATATTGACTTAGTTGGCTACTGACTAATTGACCGCTGGAGGGACCTGCCTGATAAATTATCTGATTCACTGGAGTACTGAACATGCCAACCGCGAGTGATGCTCAGTCGACCAGCACGCTCCCGTTGCCCTTCGGCGGGGTAGCCGCTTTTGACTTCTTCTTTGGGGATGGGCTCACGACACTGACACTCTTCATCGGCGTGCTCTTCTTCGGCGGCGTGCTCTTCTTCGGCGGCGTGCCGCTCTTCTTGTTCGCCTTCTTGGGAGAGGCCTTTGGGGAAGCATTGGAGGACTTGCTGCTGAAGGGGCTGGAAGCATCACTCTTAGTTTCGCGACGGACCTTCATTGGCGTGCTGAAGCGATGCTTGGACGACGTGGATCTCCTTCTTGGGCTGGAGGATGAATCCGAGGAGGAACTGCGACGGCGCTTCTTTTCCTTCTTAGACTTCTTGTGGTCCGGCTTCTTGGATCCTGCAGAAGGGCCACCAATCCCAGCACTCGGAGTCGCGCTGGCGCCGATGCTGTCTCCGGGGACCTCCTTCAGGAAGAGGGGCTTCTCCCACCTGCTCGCAATCCCGAGCTCTGACAAGAGATGGGCCACTCCCCGCATCAGCGCCCCTTTCTTGATCAGAGCACCATCGAAAAGATGGCCCCCTTCCAACGTGGTATTATCTGAGACCATGTCATCAGGAAGGGCCACGCGGTTCTTGTCGAATACCCCCTCCCCATTGGCAGAGTAAACGAGGAACCCCTTGCCGGCTTCGATGTCGAGGGACCAATACCCGTTCTGCTTCCAAAACGCCTGACGCAGGGACGCAGATCATGCCATGCAATGCAACTTATTTATTATTATTTCTGTGGCAGAATCAACAATAACAAAAAACCGGCCTCAACTCCGCCCTCAGCCACCCACGTCTTTGCACGGTTCCCATAGAGGGACCAGCGTTCTTCCAAGTCCTTCTTCAACTTCGACTCTCGCTTCGTCGTGAGGGCGGACGCGGGATGCATGTGAACGAGATATGCCAAGATATTGGACAGCTCCTCCTTTCTGGTCTTGCGATCGAGGGACAAGAGCCAAGGACCCATGCCAGGGACCAGATTCGTGATGTAGTCGATCAGCTGCCCCTTCGGAAGAGTCTTCAATTTGTTCATGTACGGTGGCAACTTGTCGCACTCTTCCTCAGTCGCAGGACCTAGATCCCAAGCTTTCGTTTTGATGGAAGCGAGGATGGACCCAGCTTGAGCGGGATTGGCCTGCAGCCACGCCATGAGTTCATCAAGCGTCTGTTGTTGTCCTTGCTCCAGGGTGGTCTGTGCCGCCTTCCGCAACGATAACTCTGCCTTGGAAGGGCCCGTGGCCTTCTTAGCCTTCTTGTTCGTCTTCGGCGGCATTCTGGGAAGCAGGACGGCAAGACTTTGAATCGAGGAAAATCCACGGACAACTAAAGGTCCCTTGCTCGAGCACATTGACAGAACGGAATCACGGTTCAAGAGCATCCAACGCTTTGCCTGCCTGCTGGCTCTGTGACATCACTTCGTCTGCAGCTGCAAAATCTCCGTCCGGACAACCCAGTTCTGAGGACGTGGCCTTGCAGCATGCCCGGTTGTTGTAGGCACACCTGAGAGCAAATAGGCGCTCAAGAAGTAGCTCGCTCCATTATTGGCTGATCCCAAGGACGGAAACCGTAGCAGTAGTGCTTCTAGAAATCGTAGTTGTCGTCGTTGTAGTAGTAGTAGTAGTAGTAGTAGCAGCAGTAGTAGTTAGTAGTCGTCGTCGTAGTCGTAGTACTAGCCGTCGTACTAGTAGTCGTAGTCGTCGTGGTATTATAGTCCTAGTCGTCCTGGTAGTATCCGTACTAGTATGAGTTTAGTCCTACTTCTAACAGTACTCCTACTAGAACTCCTACTAGTACCAGTAGCAGTAGTACTGTAGTCGTAGTCGTAGTCGTAGTCGTAGTCGTAGCAGTAGCAGTAGCAGTAGCAGTAGGAGTAGTAGTAGTAGTAGTAGTAGTAGTAGTAGTAGTAGTAGTAGTAGTAGTAGTAGTACTAGTACTAGTAGTACTAGTAGTAGTAGTAGTAATAGCAGTAGCAGTAGTAGTAGTAGTAGTAGTAGTAGTAGTAGTAGTAGTAGTAGTAGTAGAAGTTGTAGTAGTCGTAGTAGTAGTAGTAGTAGTAGTAGTAGTAGTAGTAGTAGTAGTAGTAGTAGTAGTAGTAGTAGCAGTAGCGTAGTAGCAGTAGCAGTAGCAGTAGTAGTAGTAGTAGTAGTAGTAGTAGTAGTAGTAGTAGTAGTAGTAACTACTAGCAGTAGTAGTAGCAGTAGTAGTCGTAGTAGTAGCAGTACTAGATTAGTACAGTTTCTAGTACTAGTCTTCGTAGCAGCACGAGCCGTAGTTGCAATACTAGTAGTCGTCTGGTAGTGGTACCTCCCCACACATGCACCAGTTTCTTCTAGCCACGCACTTTCAGGATTCAGTCAGTCTGACTTTGTCAGTCACTGAACAAGCTTTGGGATGGGCCATTGCCATTTCCGGGGCTGCCGACTGACTTGAAAGGGCAGCGATTCTCCGTGTCAGAGACACGGATGAAAATGCAAGGCTCCGGCAATAGGCAGCTCTCAAGTGTCAAGGATGGACCACCATTTGATGAACGATTGGACCATAATGAATTAATAGCTGTTGAAATTTGGATATGGCAAATAAACCATGCACCCTTCCTACTGAAACATTGCTGTTGCCAGAGCCATTCCGTGTTCTTGCAAGTCAATTGAGGGACCTAGCTATTTCATTCAAAGGAGTCAATGACCAGTGCATTTAGGCGCCTAGCTCAACTCTGACTCTGACTGACCTGCAAGAATCTAAGAAAGACCATCAACGGTCTACTCCAAAATGATCCAGCCTTCTTGTTCCTCCTCCCTGGCTACATACAGGACACAACGATTCAGACGAAGTGTCACAAATGCTCGGCCAAGTAGCGGATGGACCTGGCGCCGGTGTCATCCACCATGTACAGATGGTCCGCTTGGGGCCTGAACCGGATGTAGTGCAAGGGTATGCCGGTGGTGCAGGCGAAGGCCACGAGGTGTAGTTCGAAGGACCCACCAGGCACACTTAGAAGGTGCCATTGGCCAACGCTGCCCACACCAATGTGGCCCCTTCTGGTCCTGCGGATATGATGGACCTGATTCCTGGGTGCCAGCAGAAGGACCTCTCTCCGGTTTCCATGATACCACGCAAAGACAATGGTTTCTGCCATGAGCCGCTCCATCGTTTGGCTGAAGTCTGGGCAGAGGGACCGGAGAGCTGTAGCTGGGATCCAAAAGCTGCCGAAAATTAACATCGCACGACTTGCTTATGCGTCTTATTGTCAACTTGTTGTATACTTTTCAGTGGACCGATTGCTACCCAAAAGGCTGCAATGCTCGATTACTACTTCCTATTAAGTAATGATAAGATGATTAATAGTTGTATCCTGACAAGAAATCCGGGACCCCAATCCGAGCGAAATCGTCTCCAAACCGTCTGGAAGACATGTCCGAACTTGAGGGGCAGGCGCAAGGCTAGCACACATGACAGAAGTCCTAATAGCCTAACCCGACAAGACTAGACTATCCTCTCCAACTGCACAGCAAAACAACTACAGTAAACACACGATGAATAAAACTACTGACTATTGGCTGACAGGAACAATGAGCAGCAGCAACGGGCGGTGTGATTTCTTCATTCATTATATCTTATTATTATTTGAATACACTGACATTCCAGCTCATTCTGAGGACACGGCCTCCCAACAGTGCGATAGCTGCCATCATGGCGGAGAGGGACCCCTAGCTGCGAGCAAGGCTGGCCAAAAACAAAATAACAAGTTGAAATCACTGCCAGCATCGCTTTGGTAGTTATCACTGCAGGCCTGACACACGTGTGCCTTCCCCTGGCCTGTGATGAAGTCTGAAGGACCTGCGGTCACAATTTCACTCCCAGTTGACCTACGATTCATTCAGCATTTCTTGCAACACGGCATGTCCATGGCCACTGAGAAGGCTCCTAATTCCTGCACGGACGCAGGCTTTTCGTGCACCGTGCTGAGTCACTCATCTCTCGTGGCACAAATGTCATGACCGCACGCTTCTGAATGATGGACCCAAAAAAAACATGATTCAGATGTTGTTCGCATACTAACTACGGTCCCAAACTAGTATAGCTAGTACTAGCAGTAGTAGTAGTAGTAGTAGTAGTAGTAGTAGTAGTAGTAGTAGCAGTAGTAGCCGTAGTAGTAGTAGTAGTAGTAGTAGTAGTAGTAGTAGTAGTAGTAGTAGTAGTAGTAGTAGTAGGTGTACTAGTAGCAGTAGCAGTAGCAGTAGCAGTAGCAGTAGCAGTAGCAGTAGCAGTAGCAGTAGCAGTAGCAGTAGCAGTAGCAGTAGCAGCAGCAGCAGCAGTAGTAGTAGTAGTAGGTAAGTAAGTAAGTATGTGTAGTAGTAAGTAGTAGTCGCCGTAGTAGTAGTCCTAGTCGTAGTCGTAGTCGTAGTAGTAGTAGTCGTCGTCGTAGTAGTAGTAGTAGTAGTACTAGTAGTAGTAGTAGTAGTACTAGTACTAGAAGTAGTACTAGTAGTAGTAGCCATAATAATAATTCATAATTAATAGTAGTACTAGTCGTAGTAGCCGTAGCAGTAGTAAGTAGTACTAGTAGTCGTCGTAGTCTGTAGTAGTTCCGCTAGTACTAGTAGTAGTGAAGACTAGTATTTAATCGGAGTACAACAGTCGCACTACTAGTACTACGACTCGTCGTTGGAGTAGTAGTCGTAGTGGTTGTTGTTGTTGTTGATGTTGTATTGTTACGTTGTTGTCGTCTAATAATAACTGCAGCACTCCTGAGTCCTGGTCATACTAGGAAACAGTCACATAGCGGTAGTACTCGTCATTATAGGATACATAGCTTTCTCGAAACGTTCCCTTGCTACATTGCTTTAATTTGGTTGGCCATGGCATACGCGCGATCATCTGACGACTTCCTGAAAGTTCCACGGACAAACTACGGCAGGGTGAAGGGCTTCATGCCTTGTCCACACTGCTTGAAGGACCGCACGGGCTGGCACGGCTTCTTGCCCGATCCTTCCCCATGAACGTGAGATAGACCAATCGTACCGCCTATGATAGGCACGAATACATTTATTGAAATCGTCTCTGTACACGCGGTACTCTTGCGGGGCATACGGTTGAAGGACCTCGGTGGGCCACTTAGAGTCCCCGCGAAAGGCCACAGGCTTGCGTTTCGGATTCTTTGTCTTTTTCGCAGGCCTGAGGGTCCGGATGCTCGACGTGATGGACATGACTGTACGCTGACTGGCCTTCGACTCTGCGATGGCGTCATGGATCTTTTTCTCGTCCTCCTTGCTTTGAAGGGCCTCCGCAAAATGCGGAAGGGCCAGCATCTCAGTCAGCTCCGAAGTGTCTCTCTCGCGGTGGTGAAGGGCCATCTCCAGGGCGTCCGCTGCCTTCTCCTGAGAACATTGAAGGGCCTGGTTGATGCCTTCTAGAAGGACCTCCCCAATCTGTCCCTGCTCATGGGCATCCATGTTCTGCCCGAACTCCTGTTTCATGAGCAGCTTCAGGACGGTCAGAGGGACTCCTGGATACCCGTTCTCAGCCGCAAATGAAAGTATGGCCAGCTCAGGGCCGGTAGGCCAAAGCAGAGGGACCGCAGACTCGGCAGCATCTCTGGTCCTCACGAAGTGCTCCAAAGGACTGATGGCTCTGGCAGGAAGGACCTTCCAGTCTGAGAACTTCTCAATCTGCGCCCAACGCAGTGTCTCCATTGTCACGGGAAGGACCTGCAACCACCGGCACAATCTGAATTCTGAATCAAAACATGAATTCCGAAATGGTTCTACAACTCGGACCACTGAACTATTAGTTGAAGTTAATCCCTCTGGCCTTCCAGCCACCATGACGTGTCTTCTCTACGCCCAATGTCAGAAATCCTGCATTGCTGGGCCATGGTCCCATGCTCAGTCGTGGCTCGCTCCAGCTCGAATGCCGCACCAGCCAGCCCAAACTCGCCATGGAGCTTCGCCACGAGTCTGACCTCTGATCGTAGTTGTTAATTTATCGCAGCAGCCGCATGTGCAAAAGCAGTGGGAGCAGGAGTAGTTGTAGTAGTAGTCGTCGTCGTCCTTGTCGTCGTGGCAGCAGAGCAGTAGTCGTCACATTCGCACTTGCTTCAAATGTTTATTCTGATTGTTACGGGTATTATATTACTAGTAGCACAGGTAGTAGTAGTACTAGAAGTCGTAGTAGCAGTAGTAGTAGTAGTAGTAGTCGTAGTAGTAGTAGTAGTCGTAGTGAGTAGTATTAGTAGAGGTATTAGTAGAGTTAGTCCGTATTAGTATTAGTTCTAGTACATAGGTTTTGTCATGTACTAGTAGTCGTCGTAGTAGTCCGTCTGTGGTAGAAACTTTGCTAGGAGCAGAGGGAACAGTAGTAGCAATTACTTCCCCAGCTCTATTATTAAGTAATTCTGCAGGCTGCAAGCTACTAGTCTAGACATGAATGACAGAGGAAGAATCAGGCCAGTGTTTGCTCATCATTCATTGTCTACGTTTGCACAACTGAGTGAGCTAATCCTTCATGACTACTCCTATACTAGACGAGTCAATAATTATTATTTGCACTTCATTGGGTTGGGCTCTGATAAGCTCCTCCGCAGATTTAAATCAGACGCCATCCTATAAGAAGAATGAATGATAATATTATATCATTTATTAATCATTTATGCCCCTGCACAACGGAGTTTGGCGGACCAAATTTAAGTTAGACAGTCCTACTTAACCCCTACTGAAGCTGTCGGGTGGCAGATGGGCCACGGTGTTGGCCTCCACGGCTTGGCAGAGCAAAGCCAATTCGCATGCCGCGCTGGCGAGGGACTGTTGAGTCATGCTGGCCCAGTTAGCATTGCCAGTGATTCTCCGAAGGTCCTCCTCCGGCACGCGGCGCTGGATGTGGAACAGGGACCCAGGCCAGACAATCCCAGACGTGTCATCCCGGCCCCGCACTTCTTCAACACCGGCAGCACGAAGGACCCCGTTCAGAGACAAAGTCTGCCAGAGATCATGGTCGGACATCTCATGCGACTTATTCTCCGCGCCCTCTCGCTGACGGGCCTTCGAAAAGCCCTCCTCATTCCACGTTGCGCCAAATCCGGAAAAAACGCGAAGGGCCCACTGCTTCACTTCCTCCGAGAGGGACCAGTCGGTGCGCTGAAAGGCCAGAACCACGTCCTGCATGATGGAGAGACTGAAGGGCGATCGCTTTGCAAACCCTTTGCACCATCTGGAGTTTGTCCGTCGTGCCACCTGATCAGCTTCCCAGCATCGCTTCAGCTGGAGAACGGTCGCCTCAGCAATTGCTCTGTCAGGAGATACGAGAAGGACCAATCTGTACGGGTAGGAGAACAGAGGGACCGATGCGTACAAGAGCTTCTGATGCAGAAGGGCCAATGTCATCTCCAACATCCTGGCCATCCGGGCCGACTGCAATCGACACTCAGGATGATCACCCGCCATCCGCTGCACATATCCACCATGGAGGGACCCACTGCACCACAAGTCCAAAAAGGCCCACACCTCTGGCGAAAACATCTGCTGCAGGATTCGGTCGCAGATAGTCAGAGGCTCGCCGGAGGCTTCTCGCAAATGGATCTTCAAAGTTTCGGAGGGGCCCACCTTAGCGAGATTCCGCAAGTCGTGAAGAGCTTGGGACTGTGGTTTCGACAGGAAGAACCAGGCGTCCAGGTCGAAGCGGAGGTCCGTATTCAGAAGGGCCGTGGCTACACAGTGCAGCTTGTTCTTGCACCGTGCCCACAGCTTGGCCCTGGACTCCCCGGACATCGTGACCGGTTCGTCCTCTGCTGCGGTGCCTGCACCAGAAGGACCCTCCAAGGTGGCTTTGGCCTTACCCAAGAAACCCATCTTCACGCCGAAGGACACGAGCAGCATGCACAAGAGGGACATTTCTGGTCTTCTCTCTTCCCAGCCCGAGTGGAAAGTATCCCATCTGGAGATGTTCGCAGGGCCTCTCTTCTGCAGGAAAGAGGCCTGTCGAACCTCATCCATGACCTGGCTCATGCACAGGGAGGCCTCGCTCACCCCGAGGTCGCGAGCCACCCGTGGGTGAAAGAAGTGCAGAAGGGCCGAGGACTCCGGAGTTCCCGCAGCTTCCAGGATGGACAGAAAGTCGACGCACTCTTCCTGACATTGCTCTCTCTCTCTCTCTCTCTCTCTCTCTCTCTCTCTCTCTCTCTCTCTCTCTCTCTCTCTCTCTCTCTCTCTCTCTCTCTCTCTTAAACGAATCCGTGGACATCCAATCACTCACTGCCGACTTATAAATTGAAATCCCAGAATGCAGAAGAAGAAAACATACCATTGACAGCAGGGTTGCTTGAAGGACTCTGAACCATCGATGACCCTGCCAAGGGCCCCTGGAGAAGTTCAGTATCATCTCACTGATGATCATGGCGGGTTTCATGTGCTCGATGTGCGTCAAAGCGTTTTCGAGCTCCCTTGACAGCATATGACGGCCTTCCCAAAAGCACACAGCTCTGATGCCCAAGCCGTTCTGAAGGAACTGAAGTCCGCTCTGGAGATCCGGCCCCGCGTCGGAAGTCACGATCAATGTGGGGAGGGACCGGAGATCTTGGCTGCCTGCAGTCTCTGTGCGTCGGAAGGACAGCAAGCCTTTTTCCAGAGCAGGGAACATAGACTTCAACGTCTGGTTCAAGCCCACTAGCTGCTCGTAAGATGCGTGTCGGGTAGCTTTCTTCACGACAGGCTCCACTGCCTTGGAAGGGCCGGACTCCACTGCCCGCAGGCTGTCCAAGAAGCGAAGACTGTTTGCATCAAGCCGTTGTTGTTCACTTGCGCAAGGAACCTTGTCTGCATCCGGGAGGCGATAGCCAGAGTCTTTGAAGCGAAGAGGAGGGGCCCATGCGCCGATTTGGGAGACAGCGTCTAGAACGCAGTAAAGCCACCTCTTGCGACCTCCTGCCCGTCCTCCGTCCATAGCCACATGCAGGAACCGGCTCGCAGAGAAGGTCCTTCGGGCACTTTCCAAGTACTGGCCCCTCTCCTTCTTCTTTTGACGGGCCACACAAAAACGGCGAGAGGCCTCGGCCTGCATTCGCAGTTTTGTCTTAGCAGCGGATGTCAGCTTGGCTTTCTTGTCGGCCGCCTTCCGCTTGTTGGCATTCCAAGCTTTGCCCAACGCAGCCTTCATTCGCATCTCTCGCATGTTCGGATCGCGATGGTCCGCTTGCTCCAAAGAAAATGTGTCTTGTTCGGAGGGGCCGCTAGGGAAGGACCGGCACGCCACCCCAAGATCCAGGATGGACCCAAGACTTGTCACAATGTCCCAGACCAGCCACCTGAAACTCTTCAAGTGGAAGAGTTTGATGAGACAATGTTGTACTGAGAAGGGCCGCCTGAGACTCCGAGGCAGGGGCCTGTCTTGCCTTGCTTTAAAGATGGACCGCTGACATATCTGAGAGAGGTCGATCTTTCCGTTGACCAGGTCAAGCTTTTGTCTTTGCCGGTTCACTCGCAAGGTGTGTTCTCCCGGCAGAAGCAGTTTCAGGAGGGACCTCAAAAAAACGACAGGCTCCTCGTAATGCTTGGCCAAAAGCACCATGAGGAAAACCACAAATCTGCTGGATGCAAAGGCATCGTGGGCATAAGACTTCGTGCTGTCTTGTTCTTCGGATGTCGTATTGGGCCAGATGATGTCACGAGCTTGAGGGGCCTCGGCAGCATTCCTCCTGGCTTCAAATGCTGGTAGCCAGGATTTCCGCAGCTGCTTGAGAAGGTCCTTGCGCGGCAGTCGCGAAAGGCCAAGGAGTTGCCAGAAACACTTGTTTTCGCCCTCTGGAACATACTGATACCACATCAGCACCAAATGTTTGTCAGCAAAGACACCGCGTAGAGCATCTTGGGGATACAGCAGTTTGTAACTTTTCCGAAAAACGTCTAACCACTCCAGCTGCACACCGCCAGTCGAAGTCTTTGTCAATACAAAGCAACGCTCAGTCTGCTCCGTCTGTACTTTGAAGACATGATGCTTCAACACAGTAGTCGCCCACACAGATGAGAGACCAGGACCCTTGAGAAATGCTCGGCCATTGACATCAAAATGCAGATCTGTGGCTCCCTCAGGTAAGGGCACCATCTCACCAGTCAGCTTGTGATGAAGGACACCTTTTGCCCTCTTTTGCAACCACCTGAGCTCCAAGTGCGATTCATGAGGGACCTCCTGGCATGGATGCACACGCGGGTCCGGGGGGGGGCCCCCAGCCATGGCTGCCTGCTTACTTATTAGAGACAGGCCACGCTGAGGTTTTTGTTCTGGATCTGATCTGCTGGGCTATTGCAGGGGCCGTGCAATCATTCAATTGAAACGTCTCGAAGCTAAAACGCGACTGATTGTCAATGGTCAATGGATTCAATGCCAGAAATCAGAACTACACAGACACCACGTCCCACTGCACGAGTCTGACATCACATGGTCTCATGCTCCTGCAAAATGCCGGCCTGGCAGGACCCCGTGCCATTCTTCTCGTGGTCGCAGCTGCCTGGCGAGTCGGTCGCATTTGCACCGGACAAATAATGGAGTCAGTCAAAAAGCTTGGAATGCTTCCGTCATCTACAGACATATCATATGATATGACTTAAAACCCTTACTTACGTTGGGTTCCAATGATTGATTGAAAAACCAAAGCCGGTGGTTACGCGAACCCAGTGGTGTTGCGAACCTCAGAGGTTACGCGAAGGCCAGAGGGTTACGCGAACCCTCTTTTCCCAGAACCTGTGCCCAGAAAAGAAACCAACCACGAACCCTGCCACGAACCTTACGCGAACCCTGTCCCAAGATTACCGCAAAAGGCCAGCCAGGCTGCTGCGAACGTTAGCAGCCCAGGTTCGACGAACCCAACCACGAACCCACGAATCTCGGAAATAACCCAGGGCCAAAAACCCAAATCCATCACCGTAGAAAACCACACTCACAAGAAGCCAACACCTTACTTAATAATTACATTCTGCCTAGTACTACGACTACTACTACTACTACTACTACTACTACTACTAATTACTACTACTACTACTACTACTACTACTACTACTACTACTACTACTACTACTACTACTACTACTACTAGTAACTAGTACTTCTACTACTACTACTACTACTACTACTACTACTACTACTACTACTACTACTACTACTACTACTACTAGTACTTCTACTACTACTACTACTACTACTACTACTACTACTACTACTACTACTACTACTACTACTACTACTACTACTACTACTACTACTACTACTACTACTGACTACTACTACTACTACTACTATTAATTAATTATTACTACTACTACTACTACTGCTACGACTACTACTAGGAATAGGAGGTTGTCAATCAATATTTAATCCAGTTAAAGCCAGGAAACCATGGATGGGCCACCAGCTGGCGGTGTAAGCACGCTTTTTGGGGCAGAGCCGCACCTGGGAGGATCAGGTCAGTCACTCTTGCACCATTCCTGCGAAGTGCACTGGCTAGGCCATCCCGTGAACTGCATTTATTCTTTCCCACGTGCTCTTCTTGAACTGGATCGGCTCAAGCCAAGCCATCTAACTACGAATTTTTAATTATGCAGACTGCAAAGGCTTTGCACTGAGAAGGGCCGCCATGATCATGAGGCCGACTGTTTGCAAACTCATGGCATTGCCTAGAGTCTGCGGCCGAACATGATCCAAGGAAGGCCCGTTGAAGCCCATAAGGCGGCCTTTTTCCGAAGGAGTAAGGACACGCTGCAAGAAAGGGACCCAAAGGCAACTGTTGCGCCGAAACGTAGGCACGACCCCGTTCTGGGAGGTCCAAATGCAGTAATGGTCAGGATTTTGACTCAGGTCAAAGACACACTCAGGGTCAAGGTGAGGAGAGGAGCCGGTGCGCAGACGCCACTTGGCTTCGTAGCTCGTGAGAAACCTGATTCATTGCAGGGGTAGCCCTCGAGTTGTCATGGCATTGCGTCTATCCAGTACGACTAGCTATCACACTGGCTCTTGCACGCCCTGCCTCTGCTGGTTCTCCGAAAGCACACATCTCCAGTTTGCAGAGGGGCTCGCAACTGCAGGGAGGGATCGATTCTTCCTCAGCCTGTTCTCTGTGTCCAGGATGTCTTTCTCAGACGTGTCTGCAAAGAAAGCCGACAAGGGCAGAAAACCCATGGCATTCCTGACGGCGCGGCAGAGTTCTTGGTAGATCTCCGCTGGATTCTGAAGGACCTCAACCTTTTCCTTGTGAAACATGATAGACCACACTCGTCGTCGGGCCATGACTTGGTGGCCCCAGTCGCCTGGGCTGCCCCTCAAATGGAAGACGTGGTAGTCTGTCAGGATGGAGTCCAGCATTTCTGTCCTTTCATGAATGAATGAAGTGTAACTTACCTCATTGATTGAATTATTTGTTTCCCCTTTCACACATTGGAAATTGGAAGGCTAGTCTAAGGCAGTCATAGGCAACAGTAAAACGTCCAAGTTTCGGAAAACCTGTGACGTTCTCGTGAAGGGCCCAGTAAAGACGCTGTTCCCTCACCATAGAGACCCAAGCAAAGAAGACGTTCGTCCTGGAATCTGACAGACCTCCAATTCAAAGGAACATGCAGCTGCACTGGAAAACTCTGACTGGAGAAATAACGAAGTGATGTTGCCAAAACCTGGCCTCCTTGAGCTCCCATGCTGGACCATGGCTGACAGGGACTGCCACAGACTGACCCATGGGTGCGGGTCAATGCACAATTTCCCTGGTGTCGCTTGCAGTGGCAGCTGCCGTTCTGGAAGTGCTCGCAAAAGTGCTGCAGCTTGCTTTCAGCATTCCCTGCAGTCTTCTGCTTCTTACTTCTGGGGAAAAAGTCGTACACATCCCTGCCGACATGGTCACTGTTGGCATCCAGCAGAGCCGCCTGGCACATAGGATCCGGGCCCAGTGCGAATCGGCAATAGAGCCGGACAGCCTTGGGAAGGACCACTTTCGAAGCCTGCACGATCCGCTCGCAGGCCTGTTCAGCTGTGCCCAGGCCTGAGCAGCAGGTGAAATAGGTGGCCCGCTGCCCTAGAAAGGACGTCTGCCACTGCGGCCACTCCTGCGGCACGATCCGAAGGGCCACCTCCGCCCAATTGAAGAAGGCGTCGATTCCCGGCATGAAGGTAAGTAAGCTGGTTCGTGCTCAGCTACGTGTATGATATGAGCCCCAAATTTGCTAGCGGGCAGCAAGTCCTGCATAGTCTGGACATGGAGCAGCGCTGCATCTATTAGTCACCTGGTTCAAGAGCTTGGCTCCCTGCAACTGACCGTGGCCAAGGCAGTCTTCCCGCAAACATCGACCACCTGGGTAGCCAGGGCAAGCTAACTAAGTGTTCCATCACTGCGAGAAAAAGCTAGACTGATCACGGAAAGCAATGAAGGACTTGCATGCTTCACAAAAGCAACAAAAGCTGCGAGCATAGCATAACTAACTCCTTCTAGTCTAGACTAAGGCGCACTGAGAAATGCGCTAGTATTAGATGGGTTGACACAGCTTTAATGCTGCAGTGCTCTTTCATCCGGATACATATTTCCATTTACTCTAGGCTGTCCCTATGTCAAAGTATAATGAAGTGAAGATTCTGCGTCTCTTACTGCATACTGCGGGCCATGCGCTGGGTCCGGCGCATGGCCAAATGCGCCCAGGGGGAGCGCATCCGTCTTGGCATGCCTCAAGTGAAAACCAGGATGGCAGTCATGGGAAGAAACTTTTGTTTGCCTAAAACTTTCACCATGTTGTTTTTAGGTAGGGTTCATTGACAACGTATGCCCTGGACCATGCGCAAGCTTGGGCGCATGAGACCATGCGCTTGGCCTGGCGCATGGGCATGCGCTCAGCCGAGCGCACGGGTATCCCTGTAACTAATAGCTACGTACAAGAAGAGAAAAAGTACGTCTTTCATTGGTTACATTTCTATTATATTGTCAAATCCTTGACCTGTGTTCCGGACCATGCGCCAGGCTGGGCGCATGGGTGTCCATGCGCATGGCCAGGCGCATGGACACCCATATGCGCCCAGGCATGCGCACGGCTCCAATGAGTTTCTCTAAAGTTGGACTTTCTAGTGTAATTACTAAGGCACTGATTGCTTTCCTGTATTTACAAGTTGTCAATCTATACAGGCTCAATGCGCTCGGGCCCGGCGCATTGAGCCATGCGCCGGGTCTTGCGCATGGAACACAATGCTTGGCTTCTGCGTGACTACAGACAAATTGTGGTATTCACTTATGTAATACTTCTTTAAACTTTGGTTCTGTTCTGCTATACTCCATCCTACTCTTGCCGGCTCATGCGCACGGCATCTGCGCATGGGCCTATATGCGCTGGTCCCCGGCGCATGGGTCCATGCGCCAGGCCCCGCGCAACTATTTGCGCTGGCCCCCGGCGCATGGGTCCATGCGCCAGGCCCCGCGCAAGGAGTCTACGCAATACGAACGACAGTGATGGGTTCACCTGCCTCTAACCACTAATTATAGTGATAGGAATGATGCTTTCAACAAAACCAGTTTTCAGCAACTTGCAGAAGCTAGCCATCGAATGAGGAGAGCTCAGGGGTTCCTGGAGCCTATTATTAAAGTAGGGCAAACGATATTGCTCTGGACAGTGCAAACTTCCGGCTCGTGAATCAGTCATATGGTCCGAATTTAATTACGTACTTCTGGCAAATATCATGCGAATGATTTTCTGAACAGGAAAGACGAGGACCCCGGCCGGTACTGTGTTGCCGGGCAGAAGCCAGTCGAGGGACCCTGCCACAAAGGCAATGACTGCAGGCCAGTGTTAAGAATCATGCCTGAGAAACTGCTGGGCTCGCACACTGCTTGGACATTTGCCTCTATCTCAGCCCTCGCCCTGTGCTGGAAACTCAGGCTCAACTCACCTACTTGCCAGCCCTCGCCCTCTGCTAGAGCTCAGGCCTTCAATCATCAACTCACCTACTTGCCAGCCCTCGCCCTCTGCTAGAGCTCAGGCTCAGGCCTTCAATCAACAAAGCTCACGTACTTGCCAGCCCTCGCCCTCTGCTAGAGCTCAGGCCTTCAAGTAAATTATGTATATATTTGCTGGTTTTTTCTTCATCTAATACTACTACTACTACTACTACTACTACTACTACTACTACTACTACTACTACTACTACTACTACTACTACTACTACTGCTACTACTGACTACTACTACCACTACTACGACTACGACTACGACTACT